TCCATTTTGCCACACTCCATTTTAAATGACCCCTGGCCCAGTGCAAATGTCTGAGCTTGTGGAGCTTGCTTAGAAATGGCTTCCTCTTTGCACTGTAGAGTTTCAGCTGGCAACGGCGGATAGCACGGTGGATTGTGTTCACTGACAATGGTTTCTGGAAGTATTCCTGAGCCCATTCTGTTATTTCCTTGACAGTGGCATTCCTGTTTGAGGTGCAGTGACGTTTAAGAGCCCGGAGATCACGAGCATCCAGTAGAGTTTTACGGCCTTGACCCTTTTGCACAGCGATTGTTCCAGATTCTCTGAATCTTTTGATGATGTTATGCACGGTTGATGATGATAACTTAAAAGTCTTTGCTATTTTACGCTGGGTAACACCATTCTGGTATTGCCGCGCTATCTATCTGCTCAACAATGGTGGAATTGGTGATCCTCTTACCATCTTGGCTTCTGAGAGACACTGACACTCTGATAAGCTCTTTTTATACCCAATCATGTTGTCAATTGACCTAATTAGTGTTAATTGGTCTTTCAGCTGTTCGTTTTATGCTCAATTTCCTTTTTCCAGCCACTTATTGCTACTTGTCCCAACTTTTTTGGGATTTATTGACACTGTGAAATTTTGAATCAACAAATTTTTCCTTTAAAATGTTACATTTACTCAGATTAAACTTTTGATCTGTCATCTATGTTATATTACAAATAAAATATTGACATTTGCCACCTCCACATTTTGCATTCAGTTTTTATTCACAATTTGTTTAGTGTCCCAACTTTTTTGGAATCCGGTTTGTACATAAAACTCAAAAGAGGTGATTGCATATGTATTCACCCCCTTTTTTTTTCCTTTTGAAGCCCCAACTATTACATCAGTTATTTTAATTAAAAAGATACTTCAGTACTAGTAAATGATTTAAACCTGGTAAATGAACTGTACTTGTTATAACAGCCTCCAGAATCAACACCAGTCCAACACCTCTGAGTAATGAGGGCTGATACCAAGCAGGAGACATCATGAAGACCAAGGAAAACTCACAGACCAGGTAAAGTAATTAACAACCCTGATGGAGCTCTTCTGCAGAGATGGGAGGATCTATATGAGCTGCACAGAGCTGGACCAGGAGATGTTTGTTAAAAAATAAAATAAAGCTGGACTGTTTGGATTTTCTTCCTAAACATGTTGTAGAAGGTGCTGTGGTCAAATGAGATCAAACTCAAACTTTTAGGTGATCAAGGACAACACCTCACATCATGATGAGAACAACAACCCTACAGTGAAGCACGGTGGTGGCAGAATCATGCTGTGGGGATGTTTTACATTAATGGAGTAATTAGTCGGAGTTAAAGATGGATGGAGCAAAATACTGAAAAATGCTTGAAGGGAACTTGTTGGGAGCATTGGGACCAGTTTAGTCCAACCCAGACCTCAGTCCAACTGAGAATCTCTGCTTTGATTTAAAGTTTGTTGGACACAAGCAGCGCCTCAACAACCTGAAGGAGCTGGTGCAGGTTGGTCATGAAGAATGAACCAAACTCCAGTGGTTAGATGGACAAAGCTCATGGAGACCAACCTGAAGAGACTTGATGCTGGAAGTGCAGCAGATGGTGTCTCCATGCAGTATTTGGATTTAGGGGTTGAAAACAAGCTGTATGAACGCACCATTTGTCTATTTTATATTGGAATTAATAATGTTTTCCCCATTTAATTGCATGAATCTGAATTATTTTTGTACAAATATTGATTTTATTCAAATAAAAAAATCCAGTTACATTTCAAGGTTGCATAGCAACAAAATAGAGATAATTTTGTGAGACGCTGCTCGTTAAACTCGTTGCAGTAAGACAATTATAAAGCAAAATTTCAAGAAACATTTAGAGGAAAATCATTCTGTAAGCTTGTGCACGTGCGAATCTCAGAGATGCTCACCTGGCCCGGCATGGCAGGAGGTGGAGGCCAAAAATAAGGGTTGTTAAAGCGAGATTCAGCCATCCTGCAAGAAACACACAGAGGATCATCTTGGAAAATCAGCACTGGACGATAATTTGAGGCTTTGTGAGCTTTTAAATTAATTAATGCTGCGTTTTTATTGTTTGTTAACTTTATTTTTACACAACTTTCCCCTGCTGTGATGCATTTATTTACTGTGCAGGTCTGTTAATGTGGAATATGGTGATGGCTACAAACCCCATCAGTGGCTCTCCACCCAAACAGCAGCCGAATGATGCAATAATCAGTCGTGTGATATGTTTTCAAAAACATTCTGCTTCAGGTTTTGCATTTAGTCCAACCTTCCCTTGCAATTTCACCTAAGAGTTTGTCTGTGAATGAAGTTCTTTGGATTTTCAGCCCACAGGTTTCATATGACCACATGATTTCAACATGAGTCAAGGAGTTTGGTGGAAGCTGTCTATCAGGGACAAACAGAAGCTGATGTGGTCTAGATTCTGATCTGTGGCCTCCTCGGCTCATGGGGCCCCCCC